CTCCCAACGAGAGCTAAAATATTCCCCAAAGTTTGAAAGAAGCCATAGTCTCCATGCGGTCCACATAACTCTCACTTCAATAATATCCCTATTATATCAGAAATGAAATTAGACAAAAAGCGACTACCAGCGTCTCTAACAGACCCAGCAACATAGCATCTTGACCCTATTGTTAGGCGTAGGACACACCCCTCCATCAGCGACGGGGTCTGAGCGACTTCAGCAAGTCAAACACTAGCCCGTCTAAAATTACCACTGCCTCTGGCCATCGCTACCTACTCATGGACTGACAGTTGCAAGTTGTTTGGAAAAAGGCCTTACAACAAGAATCGTGATTACTCCACAATGCATTTGGATAATCACAAAACTAGTGAAAGTAGCTTAATGAATTTTAAATATCTTATAGATGCCTCATCATGAGATGGCAATTTTCGGGTTGAACTGGAAGTAGTGCTGACTTAGCTGCCAGAAGGGATAAAAAATAACAAATCGCCCCTCCTTCCCCAACTTCCTTCCATATAAACCAACCAGCAAATTTTTGGATGCTCAAGATAATGCATCAATTCAATGAAATGATCGAAACTACAAACCGAAAAAGGTTCTGCTATAAGCGTTCGAAAAGGAATATGAAGAATTACCAAATAGCATATGATGACTTCCAAGGACAGAATCCGTCTCAGCATTTGGGAGCCCCAGTCTCTGCACAATTTCTATGAATTCTGAGAATTATCACTCCCTCAATCAGCGGTAATTAAGGGCAAAAGCCATTAGGAATGGGATAAAAGGAAAGTCGTTATCTAGCATTCATCATCTAAAATTTCTGCCACCCTGAAAGTAAAGCTCAAATGGTGCCTGCATTGCCACTTTGTCCGGGTCTTTAAGGTCTCAAAGTTCAGTAAAATGAGTTTTGTGCAAAATAGCCCGCCAAAATGTCTCATACACAAATTAAACAAATTAAACAGTTACTGGAACTCAATCATGGGAATTACTTGCTGAAAGACTTTGTGCACCAAGCTGCCCAAAAGCATTACACCACCTTCAGTTAATGACTTTGAGGTGGCAGAATCAGAGTTAGGTTCCATCACGGTCGAACTGGCCCTATCTTTGTCCCAGAAGTGTTGCAATACTGCGCGTCGGACGCATCCCCTGGCCGCAGCAGCCACTGTGGTACCCGATATAAGCACCTCGGGATGAAGGACGAGGAGGGGAGGAATAGTGACATCAGACGGTAGTGGGTCGTCGGAGAGGCTCCATGTTGAAAATGAGGATGTGGTGGTTGGTTTGTTTCCGATAGAACAGGGGATCAGATTAATTATATCGCCAACCTGAAGTGGTGTGTCGTACCTATGGAAATAAGAGGAATCCAAATTTTACTCAATTCAATCGCAAGCGACTAAATAGCACAACTCCGGTGCCTATCATTCTAATGGCGAAAATAACATTCACAATACCGAATTTACTCATGCAACAGTTATTA